CACAATCTAGACATTCCTAATGTCTTGTGTGATTTGATTCGGGGACCTATGAAAAAGTTAATAGATATCTATCACTGCTCTCCCCGTTACTTTTCATCGTGAATCTAATTTAATTTATAATTTTGAATATGATGGAGGGAGACCTCTAAGCAAGTATTGTAAAAAGTGTCAAAGTGATTGACAAAAATGCTAAAAGAATTGACTGAATTTATTTTTAATCTAACTAGAATGTTTGAAAACTTGTATCTTTAAAAAAAAATACATTTTAACAAAAAAGCACGCACATTTAACTAGACATGAAAACTTTGGGTGGTTGATGATGTATATGATGTACATATACATAAAATGTTGAATGAACTCTGAAATGTATCTTATCTTAGAACACTTTAAAAACACTTCTGTCGTGAACATTGTGGTATGAGGAAAAACGTCTTTTTTTTCTTTTTTTTTTTAAGTGTTTAATTTTTTCCTTGGTAAGTATATGTAATTTGTACAGATGAGATTTCCAAAATAAAACAATATCATGATTTTAGTATTTTAGAATATATATGCAAGCAAATAGGCTGTCAAATCCACAGGTTCAGAAAATCATTAAATTAAATATAACAAAATTATTCACCGATTTTTTTTTTTCTGATTTTACAAAGATAGCTAGGAATTGATCAAAATCAATTAAACGAGATAAAAGATGTTTTAAGATGTTACTGTCAATGTTCCTTACCGCGATACATTTTAGGAATGATAATTTGGTTTCATGTTGAGATCAATCGAGTGGCTTGCGTGATAATTATTGAAAATATCAGGCAAGCCAATCAATTGATCATCGTCATGGAACCAAAAAAATCTGACTATTATTCTTTTTATTTACATGCTCTAGATTCCGCAAATTTAAGTGCTGCAAGACCCGCTTCTGTCTCTTTTAGCCCAGATCCGTACTTATTTTTTTTAATCGCGCCTATCAGTTAACCAGTAAATTTATATAGAAATAATTTACATTAACTATTTGTAATTTTATATCGGACACAGACATTGGAAATGTAATTATAAAATAGCATAAAACATATTGTTCTTAACTTAAATATTTCGGATAATTTTTCAGTTGAACATATCTTTTTAAGATACTGAATGTCCATATCTATATCTTATTATATAGTATTCTAAATATCGTACTGTAAAAAGCAAGAGAGTCATATGAATTGATTGATTGTTACATGTATATTGTTTACGTTCTTGAGAATTTTTCACTCATATGGAGACGTTGATGCCGGTGAAGGGCTTCAAATTTAGACCTATACTCGGCACTCAGGGCCATTGAGCAGTTTCTTTATCGTGCCAACGCCTACCGTGACACGGGACCTACGTTTTTAAGGTCATATCCGAAAGACCCGTGACAACTTCTAGTGCCGAGCGCTTAATGAACAGTCACTACCTATGTTTACGTCTTAGGTATACAAAATCAAAAAATTCAAAAGAATCACGAAGCGAACGCTCTACCACTAGGCTACCGTGACCGGTAAATAAATTCAAAGTTCAGTCAATCAGATTAAAGCATACGTGCATGCGAGTGTTTTTAAGGATTTACCCATAGAAAATATGCCAGAACCTTATCATTTTACTAACAGCGTGACAGTTTGCTTGATAGGGCGTGCTAAAATTTCTTATGCTGATTATCATTTTACTCATCGATTGGATGTTTGATTTCAATAGAATCAAAAGTACTTTGCATATGAAACACCGAACCCAGCAATGCCACTGACAATACTGACCAATCGCATTTATAAACAACAATAACGTGAAGGGACAAAGCAATAATGATGATATTGATAGCTACGAGGGGTTATCAAAAAGTTCGTGGACTAGCGCCATAAAATTAAAACCGCTCAAGGTACATCAATGAATTTTTAAATATCTAGTAAGCATCATCTTTTCTATCCAAAGAATAAACCACAAATCATGAATTTTATTTTTTAATGAATTACTAACGTTTTTGTAAGCAATGGTATGTCAAAGCGGCGCAACCTCGAAAACGACGTTTTTTTTACACATGTGTAACTGAGAAAAACTCATTTGATATGATTATTTGACATCCAAAAATCCCGTTAATTCAGGTATTTGTCGGGACACAATTGTTCTATTTAATATGAAATTTTCACTTCATTCTGGAGGTTCTTTGAAATTTTATCGTAAATTTTACACGGAATGTCTAAACAAATGAGCCCTTGAAAATGACGTCAAAAGGGAGGAGGGGTTTCTGTTTCCAACATTTTATTAAGTTTTGCCCCTGAAAAAAATAGCATAGACCTAAAATATGTTGAAACTGGCTACAGAGAAATAATATGCATCCAGAGTACTCGTCTTTTAATGTTAAAAAAGATTCAGAGAATAAAGGGATACACAGTTAATGTCGATTTGTAGTTAAGGTGTAAAAAATCAATCCCGTCAAAAATGACGTTGATCATGTGTTGTAGATATTGATATCCCAAAAGCAAAATATGCCGGCACAATCAAGCGCGGATCTCTCCCAATGTACTAGTATGAATCCATCTGGAATATTATATTCATTGAAGGCCACTGTTAATGACATTGTAAAGTCATAAAAACAAGGCGAGTTTAAGTCCTTACTCAGCTCCAGGGAATCTCATCAAAAAAGTGTATGAGGTAGAAGAAGATGACATTGAAAAAAAATGACGTTATCGGACGTATTTAAAATAAACGACGACAGCGCCGGGTGATCATATAATGTCGTTTTCATTTTATAATAATTCGAAAAATAATGAACGTATCAGGCTAAAATTTTCAACGTTTCTCTATTTTGTGTTGTGTTATGTTCCATATAAATTTTGAAAGCACAGACTACATAGTACTAATTTTATAGCCTCAATCCACGAACTTTTTGATAACCCCTCGTACATACAGTAGCAGAGTAGTTTTACTAATTCCATTTTTAAAATTTTATTATACATGTTATACGTATTTAAAAACCCATCCAGTCATTTCACAACAAATTTAATACATGCTTTTTTGACGATAGAAATTGAGCTTTGACTGACCACCTGTTGACCTGACTATAAATGCCGTACTGGGAAACAATCATTCAATGTGATTGGCCAGTATTATCGGGATATTGTTGTGTTTCGAGTTTCATATGCAAATTAGTATTGATTTCATTGATCCAATCGATGAGTAAAATGATAACTAGCACACAAAATTTTAGCACGCCCCATCAAGCATCCTGTCACGCTGTTCGTAAAATGATAATAAATATACAATTAATTTCAATTTCAAAGTTTTTGTCAAAAAATACGGAGGTTAAAGAGACCTTTATTTCAGCCATTCAAGCGGAGTGCACATGCTTGAAAATGAGTTCTTTCTTATTTGTCTAAACTACTTAATGTCCTTAAATATATCTTTACATTTTGAATTTCAAAGTAAATCATTAAAATTATGAAATGTAGGGCTTCATCAAATACATAAGTTTTTTTCACATCGCAGCTGCAGGAACTTTTGAGATATGCTTTTTTGTTTTGTTTTAGCCTTTGACCTAACCATAACGCTACAGTGTCTACAGCTAGCGCCCCACATACATGCAAAGAAACAAGAAACCTTGTTGCCTTGTTAACAAAAGGGTGTTATATCTCTACTCCAATCTAATTAAGATGAGATCTTCCATCCGCTCCCCGTTTTTTTTTTATATTTCCCGAGGAAAATCGGAGAGCGGACGGAAGACCTAATTTTAATTAAATTGGTATATTCTCCGTCAGCAGAGAAGTTGATTCTTCACTTCAAAACTTATATTACATTATGCAGCTCATGGTTCCTTTCGGGTATATAGACACAACGATAAATGTTTACATTTGGAAGTTATGTCAACAATCCGAGCAGTCTGAGATATAAATAGATATAAGGACTGAATAACATAGTGTCATAAACCAGAACGTTCATTTTAAATGATGGAGAGAGAGAGAGAGAGAGAGAGAGAGAGAGAGAGAGAGAGAGAGAGAGAGAGAGAGAGAGAGAGAGAGAGAGAGAGAGAGAGAATGTTTAGTCATTGTATATAGAAATGCAAATCGTAAGTGTAATTTTACATCTCGAATATATAACTAGATTTTAGCTCATCTGAACCAAATTTTATCATTCTGTTTTTCTTTCAAGTCTGTGATCTGCCTCTCATCGTCTGTCCTCCTTGATATTTTTACCCCGCTCTTTTTCCTATTAATCCTTTGTAATGTTTTCTATACAGTATATGTACCTCAGACCAGACTGTAAATATTTTATATGTTATTAATGCACATTACCCATGTACCAATAGGTTGTTCTGGGTGAAAGAAACTGAACTGTAATATTTTTTTGTAATATTATTTTGATTTCTTTCACATGTAGCACCCATTGATGTATATCAACCAAATTTGCACAACGCTTCATTAGGTTAATTTAAGGGATATTTTCTGTGAATCTTTGAGTATATAAATACCGCATCCTGGGCTTGTTGTTATCATGAGTACCTGTAATGTTACAATAATGCTTTCCAAATATCTTCGTGTTGTGTGAATTCAATACTCTTATTGATTTAACAGATAGATTGCTCTTAACACAAATTAATGCTATGGCATTGGCGGTTACAGAATTTTCTTTGGGTTGGGGGCTGGAAATGACCCTTTATCTTTGTAGGGAGGATTATTTCTTGTACACTACATATCTAACGCCTTATATTTTGAATATATCAAGTACAGTTCAATCACTGCTCGAAGGGAGATTATATAGAATGTGGTGCAGAGGTTGTTTGTCTGTTTTTGGTTTGTCAACTCTTTTGGAAGTTGTCCCTTTGAAACTGATAAATTGTTTATGGCTTGAAATACATGTGGTATAATTCTATGCTATAGTTATTGTGGACCGACCTAGAACACCCCTCCCCCAACCGAATTCTGAAATTCTAAAATGTTTTGTAATATGGCATTGGTTTTTTAAAATATGTCTTTTAACAGATTACATCCAATACAACAATGGCAATTTGCAAGAAAAGTGATAAATACTCACTGCTTCCTGAACCAGAGTTCATCACTTTCAGCCTCGATCATGTCAAAGGGCTACGCAGATTTGCTTGCCTTAATGATAAACAAATCTGGATATGTGATATGGAAGTACAGGTCATGAAACTTTACGATACGCAAGGTTCGCTACAATGTTCGGTCCAGACAGAAAAAGAAACCTCTCCATTTGATATTGCAGTGACAAGTGGCGGAGAAGTTGTCTATACTGATGTAAATAACAAAACAGTGTACATGATGAAGAACTCACAGATAGAAGAAATTATTAGACTGAAAAATTGGACACCCCTTAACGTCTGTAGTACGTCATCTGGAGATCTCCTGGTCACAATGAGTAGTTCAAACTTTAAGGAATTCAAAGTCAATCGTTACCGGGGAAATACAGAGATTCGGTCCATTCAGTTTGATGATGAGGGAAGACCCCTTTATTCTCCTGGTTACCTAAAATACATCAGTGAAAATAGAAACCAGGATGTTTGTGTGGCCGATTGCAGAGAACACGCCTTAGTGGTTGTCAATCAGGCAGGCAAACTACGTTTCAGGTATACTGGAAATCAAGCTACATCGAAGAGATCATTTGATCCTTATGGAATAGCTACAGACAGCCAGGGAAATATTCTTGCAGCAGATTGTAACAATCACTGCATCCACATTCTGAACCAGGACGGAGATTTCCTGCGTTATATTGATAATTGTGAACTACGAACCCCACGTGAACTATGTGTGGACCCCAAAGACAATCTTTTAGTGACGGAGTACTATACAGGTGATGTAACTAATGTACTCAAGAAGATAAAATATAAATCATACGTAGACAATTCTAAAGGCGAAAGGTAAAAAATAAAAATCTAACTACGTACCTCCTTGATCAATATAAATAAATCATCTCTGCACACCATAGATTGACAATTATGTAAAAATAAAAAGGAAGAGAATAACGAATTTGTCTTAAAGTACCTTAATATCACTGGAAAAGAATCAAGTGTTGGTCAATAGACATACCGTATGAGTGGAAATTTTAGCGAGACGCAAATTTAGCGATTTGTCCTTAAAGTCTGGTAATTTATTTTTAGCGAGATGTTAATTTAGCGATTTCAAAATGCACATTAAAGTAACTATTAGCAATTAAACGCAATTTATTTTTAGCGATATTTAATTTTAGCGATCCCGGCACCCTCGCTAATAATGCCAAAATTAAATCCTCGCTAAAAAATCTACTTATACGGTATTGCTTTTTTTATGCCTCCTCCTTCCTTTATCTCAATATGACATAAACACCATATATGTTGATATTGTAATTTATTGATCAAAAAATCTTGGTCAAAAATCCAAATATGTAATAGAAACAAATCAAAATATTGTAAAGGAAGTGTACAGTGTATTTCGACTTTATATATTAACTGAAACACTGCCCAGACGTCTCTTTAAAAAGCTGTTTGCAAGTATGAATCAAAGCTCAAAAATAAATGGGGGACACATAAGAAATATTTAATAAGAGTGATAGGCATACATATCCATGCTTCTGAAAATACATATGTACACACTTTAATTGTTCAAAGTATATCTTTTACAATGTCAACCTTCTTCGAATATAAAATCTTTGAAATATAACTTTTACAACTTAAAATGTTTTCATGCATTAATGTTAATAAAGAAAATGTTTAGTACTAGTTTATCCAAACTTTCCACCCTTTGAAGCTTGACCTATGATATCCATAGATATAATTTGCCGCAGTTGTGCGTATATTGACTTCATCTCCAGTTTTTAAAACAACAGGAATTGTATTAGCACAGTTTTCAAAGCCAGGACTTAGGTCATTATTACAGTTTCCTAAGCCCTTTGTTTCACCGTTCACCAAAAGTTCTGTGTCACATATCTTATGAGAATCAACCATAGTTGTCCATGTAAACACATAAAGACCACCAGAGGGTGCCGTGAAGAAACCATTGCGTGGGTTATACACGTTGCCAGTTTGATATAAAACAGTGTCATAGACAAGATTGACCGGAGTATTCCGTTCAAGTTGCAGAACTGGTTTGCTGATGGCTGCATTGAATACAACTGCCTGTTTGTCTGCAGAAGATGAATATTATGAGATATATTGGTTACCACTTGGAAATTAAAGGATCTATTTATAAAAGGAGTTTAGGTAATAGATCTTGACAAATGACAGTTCGTTCTTTCTTTGTCACAGACCCGTACATAGTATGCTTATATGCGGCAAAGGTGGTGGGACTGGGTGGAGGCACAGGAATTTCGAGACCTCACTCCTCAGACCATTTTTGTCCCCCCGCTTGAAAAGTGGGGGATATTAATTTGGGTTTGTCCGTCCGTCCGTCCGTCTTTTTGTCTGTCTGTAACGCTTTCGTTTCCACACGATATCTCAAGAACTCTTTGAGCTTTTGCAATGAAATTTTGCATAGCAACTCTCTATAAACTAAAAAAGACCCCTATTGATTTTGAGGTCAAAAGGTCAAAGGTCAAGGTCATAAATAAGCAAATTCTGTCGGTTTTAACACTTCCGTTTCCACACGATATCTCGAGAACCCTTTGAGCTTTTGCAATGATATTTTACATAACAACTCCCTATGGTCTAAGGAAGACCCCTATTGATTTTGAGGTCAAAAGGTCAAAGTTCAAGGTCGTAAATTTATACATTATGTTTGGATGAAACACTATCATTTTGTTCATATTTCAAGAAGATTTTGAGCTTTTGCTATGTAATCTTATACCAAAACTCCCTAGGACGTCTCTCGCCCCTCTCAAAGTGCCCAGCCCCTTTTGTTTTATTAGTATTTATTGTATTACATGTCGCTTTTTTTAGCACAGGAACATGAGGAAAATTATTACGTATAAAACAGGTTCTCCGTGGACTTTATATTCCTATTACATCTATTAGAACTGTTTAATAAAGGTTAAATTAGACACCATACATTGTGTAAAATTTTGACAATATCGAACGTGAATATATACATGTATGTCACTTCATGTTTTTATACAATTGTCTCCATATTACAGCGGCTCCATGGTCCAGTGGTAATGTCTCTCGCTTCACATGTGAGAGGGCCCGGGATCGCGCCTCGGTTTAACCAACTTTTTTTCGAAATACTTTTCTTTTTTTAATAAATGATAGTATTCAGCATGTGAAATGAAAAATTATTGAGGCCTGGCTTGTACAAACTCATAATGTCATCATTACAGTGTGATAAATATTCCATATAAAAAAGAACCTTCGACACACATAATAAAGAATAATCAATCAAACCTTTATATCCATATTTGCATATTTTATTTGCTTCAGTATACATTTAATAATTCTACAAATTCAGTCAAGGGGATCCGAACCCACGACACCCCCACCCCTACCCCCCCCCCCCTCACCCCCCGACCCCGAACTGTGCATGGTTTACTTTTCCCTAAGCGGGGGACACAAATTCTCTGAATTAGCTTGTTTCGTTTATATGCTATACAATGTAATGCCAAAGCTATATTTTACGGTCGTGCCCCTCAATTTTATTATTTTTCTATTCAAATTAATGATGCAGATTAAGTAAAAATAAATTCAAGAATGCATCAGTAACCATCAAAATGATACACATTTAGAAAATTAAAGGGGTATCCCCATCCGTATCTACATGTATCCTCTTTGCAAATCTAACATAGAATTTATAAATGGTATGTACATGCACGTAAATGTTCAAAATACTAAATCGTAATTATTATGATTGCATGATCAATGATAACATGAAGCTGAATGTTGATAATTCATTTTGAATCGAGGGAAATAAGCATTTATTCATGAAACCAAGACTTAAAAAAACCTTGCTTTTTAAGCAGATGCTTTAGCTTCAGTATGATCATATTATAATTATTAAAAACAAAAGATATACATGTGAACTGTAAGATATTATTCAACATTTATAGGTTCCTGTTTCTTGTAAACTGTATATCATCAAACTTGTTATGTTTGTATTCAAAGAATCTTGTGATTTATAAAAGGACATTTTGTATGGTCATAATTTTACCTTCCAGATTTTTTTCCATAACACCAATTCTGTTCTCTATGATGCTAATTCGCTTTGTTAGATTTCCTGGTTCCTCTACTTCTGTAATACATTCATCTTCACATCGTTTGTGCATTTGTTCGGACATTTCTACTTTCAATTTTAAGTCTTTCATTTGCTGTTTAATGTATTCTAATTCCGCATTGCGTAATTTTATTTCACTGTGAAGTTCACTATATTTCATTTCAAGTACATATGCAGATCCAAAAATAAATGCTACAGCTATCCCTACAATACAGTGTCTTAATGTACTTCCACATTGTCCATCCATTGTAAGAAAATAGCTCCCAAAATCAATAAACAAATTTTGCAAATAAACTCCGAAACGGCTGTACAAGAGTTCTTAATAAAGACTGTTGGAATACGCAAGGCATTAAATGATGTCCGTAAACTATTCCCGATTCAAAGATTTCACTCGCATAGTAAGTATCGTAAATTTAATCAAAAGTCTACTTTCATTTTCGGTTAACAATCTAAAAATATCATAATAGAGAGTAAAGTGGTGGTTTCGGTTTGCGTATCAAAGTTTCTAACATTATAATAAAACTGACAACAAACAAGCGGCGATTCAGCAACGATTAATTTTCGCCAATGAGGAAACATTCTCTATGAATAGAATTCTAAATTAAAGGTTCGTGGCGATTAATATTCGCGAGTCGCGAAACTTGCTGATATTTCTCGCTCGCGAATAAAAGTTGGTTTATAGTATTGATTTCATAAAAACGTCATTTATGAATTATTTAATCAAAGCTAAATTTAAATGATATTATATAAATGGTGCCTGGTTTGGAGGGTAACAGTTGAGTTTGACACCCTAAGGAAAACCATTGTCAACCGACGCGTCAGCATATATCGTATCGACGTAGGAATGGAAATTTCTATTATTAACTGACAATGCGTCGTCGATATATCTAAATGTCGAGTTGAAGGCCAGCGAAATTGTTTTCTTCTTTTCACGTATAAGTTTTTTGCATAAATTCTGCTTCATATGAATATAAAAATAAGTCTGCTTATAACGGAACACAATTTCTACCCATGGGAATTCCAATAGATTGTTGGAATATCTGGTCTCCAAAAACCACATAGATATTGTCAATCAGAAACTCAAGTATCTTTTTGATGTCAACTTCAGAGTACTTATGAGTGCAATCAGAATCTGTTTTAACAAAATTATTTTGCAAATGACCAATGACGAGGTAAGTAAATTTACTAGTTCCATTTTTATTGAAGAAGCAGCTGTCAATTATATCAAAAAGCCTGGATATTTTAATTTGTTAAATTAGGCCTTTGTGTACATATGGGTTGAAAACTAAAGCTCTTTTTTCAATAATTTAAAATATTTAAACAGATCACCCGCATTATAATAATAGCAATAATATAGATCAGCATATTATAAGATAAAATTTCAAACAAGTAAAGCGAAAATATGAATGAGGTACTTTTAAACAAAACAAAAAAAAAAGTCGACAACATACTATGTAAATAATGAAAAAAAGTCATGCAGAATTTACTTTAATGATGAATTATACTTCTTGACAATATCATTGTATCGCCCACGGATCTTACAAAATAATGCCTTAAGCTGATATTATTTTTCATTAACTTGTTTGTCTACAATTTAACTGGTTTTCGAAATTGTTCATATGTCAATTATGAAAAGGAAATTCCTTAGTACAATAAAATATCGCCATCAATTCTTACACCAGCATTAACAAAAACACTTATGACATAACTTGGACAGGAGACTAACAGGCAATATCAAAGGGAAATTAATCTAAATGATGAAAACACGATTTGAAAAACAAAAATATTTATTTCACAAAAGCCACACAATGACAAATATTTTTTTCTGATCTCCAGGACATTTTCTATGACGATGCTTAGGCAGTAAAATATACATGGTTCTAATGTATCCAAAAACAGAAGTATCAAAATTGAAAATATTTTCACCAAACTTTCCATCCTTTAAAGTTTGACCAGTTGTAGCCATGGGCATAATTTGCCGTAGTTGTACGTATATTGACTTTGTCTCCAGATTTTAGAACAACAGGAATGGTGCTTGCACAGTTTTCGTATCCAGGGTTGGCTTCATTGTTACAGTTTCCTAAACCCTTTCTTTTTCCGTTAACCAAAAGTTCTGCATCAAATATCTTACGAGCTGCAACCAATGTTGCCCAGGAAAACATATAAAGGCCATCAGTGGGAGCGGTGAAGAAACCATTGACTGGATTGTACACATTGCCAGTTTGATATATAACTGTGTCATACACAACATTGACCGGAGTGTTGCGTTCCAGATTTAATGTTTTGCTGATGGCTGCATTAAATACAACGACTCTTTTGTCTGCAAGAGAGGCAAAGCATAATTAAAATACAAGGGTTACAATTGCAATTAATGGAATATTTAAAGATGCGAAAAACAAAATAAATGAAACAATGTTTCTGAATGAATACACTTAAATTACAAAAAAAACCCGTCTGTGTAAGTTTATTATGATGAACGATGGGGAATTTAAAGATACCAAAGACTGAAATAAAAGATCACAAGTATGATTGATTATGAGTGCACACACATAAAGTAGCTATGTTTTCTATGGTAAACTATAGATATATATAGTGTAAATATCGCCAAAATAATTGGAATAATACTACTCTCTTACGTTCCTATGGCTATTTTGTTTCTTCCTTAGATTGGCATATTATACAAATGCTCAAGAAAAAACTCTCAGGGGTTTGGTGAAGAATTATTCATTAAAATATAATCTTTCAATATTAAAGGTTAAACAACAATAAGGTCATAGTAACACAAACCTAAGGAAGTATCACTGCAAACGGTGTCCACGGTTAAAGTCAAATTAAGAAGATCTCTCTGTATCTGACTTATCTGCGTTGAAGTCTCATCCCCAGTTTTGTTCAACTTCAAACACTGATCACCTCTGTTATTTTTCTTCTCCATTTCTAGTACTTTGGCTTCCATTTTGGCCATCTGTTTTTTCATTGTTATCATATCATCCACCAAGGAATACATTTGTCTGGTAAGCGATAACCTTATCGTAGTTTCCTGATTCAACTGTTGTCTCAAATTGTTCATTTCTTGGTCCAAAGTCTGGTTGATAAAAACCACTGGTGTTGGAATTTCAGATTTCGTATCCGTTGTAAGAGAGTGCGCTGTTGCTGTGGCAAGCAGCATGGAGAACCAATGGGGAATCATTACTGCTATTTTAAATTTCGAAATAGCCAATAATACACAAAGAAATATTCTTCTCCGTTATGAAGCTCTTCTATAAGTATGATATAGTTATATAATTCATACAATTATATCCAATTCCAGTTTCTTTCCTTCCATAAGTGAAGATTGTTGATTTTTAGAAAGCTATTTACCACAGAAGGAGCCGCAATAAAAAGTACTTAAAAGTACTTAAAACGGTTTAAGTACCTACATGATTAGTGATTATAAATGCATTTGTGAAAGAAAGCATCTTTGTTTGTTTTAAATAAACTGAAGTGCTATCGGAATAGGGATTAGTAGAGTACGTCACATTGCCCTAAGTGCTAATGTCTGCCGACTCAATATTCTGATGGGCTGCATGATCTTCAATTAAGGACAGATTATACAAACAACCTTTGATCAAAAAGTTGAAAATAAAAATTTTAGTCAAGTTCAAAAAAACTAAATGACATAAGTGGAGATATCGAGAATTATTCAAGCTCAAAAGTCCATAAAGCAATACAAAGTAGGAGCAGAATAAACAAGAACCTCCGAAACTTCAGAGCTGGTATCAGGTCCCATGGAGGGGTGAGTATCCCCTGTCGACTGGTCACACCCACCATTTGCTCCTTGTTATGATAGGAAAATACGGAAAATCCGTTGCCATTTTATTTAGTAAATTTCGGACTTACAATAAGTATGAAAATTTAATTGTTCATAGGTAGAGCATGCTCTTGCATATCAAATTAACTGAGAGATATATTAACCCCGTATGCTGCTAATGACGAATGTATATTGTGCACAAGTAAGGGAATTTGACGATTGAAAAGTTAAAGTCATCACGTTTATAACAACGTTTAGTTGATAGAAAACCATTGACTCTTTTTCAAGAATCATGCAACAAAAATGTTTGCCTTGGGAAAGTCCAACCATTTGCGTGCTCTCGGAAAGCTACAATTATTTACTCATGCGTGAAACATATAATGCTTTATTTTTATGCTAACATCTTATTTTCTTTTGTTTTATTGCATGAAAAAATTCACGGAGCGTTGAGTTTTTACTTAGTACTATATTATGACGTCACAATCAAAAGCTTTTTCATCTCTTTTTAAAATGCTTATTTTCTGCCATAGATGTCAGTGCATTTGCCAATCCAATACATTTTTCGAAATAGATCAATTTGAAAAATAATTATTATTCTACAGTTGTACATGTATTTATCTTTAAAATCCTTATCCCTTTCCCCAACCATTTTTACAATAGTGGTCAGCGACTGGATCTTTTTCCTACAACGAAGGATATGGAGATAACGAACAGTATTCAATTTCAAAGTCCATAAAACAATACAAAATAAGAGCAGAGCAAACATGGACCCCCGAAACATTTGGGTGGGATCAGGTGCCATGGAGGAGTGAGCATCCTCTGCCGACCGGTCACACCCGCCGTGTGCTCCTTGTTATGATCAGAAAATAACGGAAAAATCCGTCGTCAATTCAGTGTAAAAAATAATGGACAAACAATTGTTACGAAAAAAAGTCAGTCAGCATTTGACTCAACGATAAATTGTATTTGCTGACAAGGTCATTGTATCGACCATAGAACTTACGAAATGATGACCTTAAACGAGACGGCTGATATTCTAGTTTCATCAACTTGCTTGTCATTAATTTATCTCGTTTTAGAAAATGTTCATACGTAGAGCATGCTATTGCGTATCGAATCAACTTAGATGTATATACTCCGTATGCAGGTGATGAAGGTATATTGCTGCATACGTAAGGGAAGTTGACGATAGAAAAGTCATCACGTTTATCATATAGTTTTGCTTGTTAGATTACCATTAGCGTCTTTTTCAAGTAAAACATCCAAGTAAGAAACAGAAATGTCAGACTCTTTGGTATCTTTTATCTTAAGCTCACTAGGATATATCGTATCGACGTAGGAGTGGAAATTACCATTGTTAATTGACAATACGTCGTCGATATATCTAAATGTTGAGTTGAAGGCCACAGCAGGTGTTTTCTTCTTTTCAAGCATAAGATTTTGCATAAATTCTGCTTTATATGAATATAAAAATAAGTCTGCTTATAAAGGAGCGCAATTTGTACCCATGGGAATTTCAATAGATTGTTGGAATACCTGGTCTCCAAAAACCACATAGATATTGTCAATCAGAAACTCGAGCATCTTTTTGATGTCAACTTCAGAGTACTTATGTGTGCAATCAGAGTCTGTTTTAACAAAATAATTTTGCAAATGACCAATGACGAGGTAAGTAAATTTATGAGTTCCATTTTTATTGAGGAAGCAGCAATTTAAAACTACATGGAGCTGAAGGCACAGGTTTATACTGTTGAAAAGGTATTGAATTCAACAATTTAATAACATTATTATCCCACGAAAATGTGGAAAGTGTTATGTAGTTGTGATACTATACAAAGTAATTATGGAATACCCTCGTGTATATATATCATGTAATAAATGGAGATAATGAACAGTTTTCAAGCACAGAAGTCCATTTACAATACAAATGCAGCAAAGCAAACATGAACTTCTAAAATATCAGAGGTGGGATCAGGTTTTATGGAGGAGTGAGCATTCCCTGCCGACCGGTCACACCTGCCATGTATATGAATTGTATATTATACTAGATGAATAACTCAACAATAAAAACCGTTATATCCGAAAATCCCATTTTTGAACTAATTCTACCTAAGCATATAAAATATTTGCCTTCTTCATTAATTGAACTTTTTAGAGCAAAACGTTCCACATGACCTTTATACGTATTAAATTTGTTGCTTTCAGTCAAGCCCTGTAAAAGTTGTTACATTTCATTCATATAATTTTGTATGGAAAAAATTCTTATTAATTTTATATGGAAAAAAATCTTTTTTTTTTTTAATGCTTTATTTTTGAAAATTTTTATACTTACAAAAGAAAACAAAACACACACACAAAAACACACCCTCACACACCACATGCACTCTGTGCAACCCTCACACACCACACGCACTCTGTGCACCTTTCCCAAATACCAGCTTTCATAATTACACCTTAAGTAATAATTGGAATTATGTATGACAAATCAAATCAAACATTGCCCATTTATTATACATTTTAGTTCTACAATGAAAATTGCTCTCACAATATTTTTCAATTTTCCTATAATACTTAAAAATGTTAACAGCTTCTGTAAATTTAGGTATAGTACATTGAGTTCTTGAGTAATACAAATACTTTTTTCCTAACAAGATGAGAAAATTTTCTAAACAACTTCCTTCAATATTACCCAGCATCACCTTTTGTTTTGAAATTACATAATCATTTTCAAATGCTTGATACCAATTTTCAAAATTTTTCCAAAAAATAGATACATGTTTACAATCATAGAAAAGATGAATCAATGTTTCTAGATCTGTTTTACAGAAAGAGCAAAGATTGTTTTCAGCAATTTTTATCTTGTAAAGAAAAGAATTTGTGGCGAGGAAGCCCATAAGAATTCTATATTGAAAGTAGATTATTTTGGTGTCCTTTGTGCAAATGGAAGCATTCCGAAGAAAAAATTCCCAGTGTTTTTCTGTAATAGGTTCATTTAAATAAATCTCCCATTTTAACTTTTTGGATTCTGGTGCCACAAAATTCTTATCTTTTATAATTTTATACAGAAATTTTATACTTGTCACAGACATCATTTTTTGTATAACACATTTCTCTGGTGCTGCAAGTTGATTGCCTCTTTCTGTCATATAAACAGTTACTTCCCTTTTGACTCTTGCTGGTACTCTTGATATAATATTAAAATAATTTAAAAAATTATTAGTACCAACTATTTTTTTAACATCATTAAAACACCTAAATTTTCCATCATCCGACAAGTCTTTCAATTCTTTAATACCTTTTTCCACCCAAGTCTTGTAAAAACTCCAAATCCTATATGTTACACCATCGTCAACTAAGCTCTAGGGTCTGTCTACTTGACTAAAGAACAGGTAGAACTAGAAATTGTGTTACATCCAAAACGATTCTTTTTCTGGTCGTCATTACTCGTCAATCATGATATAAGATTGCCTTTTCAATCTGTGATACAGATATAGGGAGAATAAAACGGGATTTTTTTTTCACGAAGAGGAACATTTTTCATGAAAATTTTCAATGTCTTAGTGACACAATACTTATAGATTCTTTCGGTAAGGAAATAAACTTTGGGAATCATAAAGAAAACAGATTTTATCTCCCTATCATTTTTAAAATTATTTAAAAAAAAATACATCCAATCAATTACTGCAATGATTATACTAAATTCACAAATAACACAGTTTTCATTTAAGGTTTTTGCAAAGTTCTATTTTAAAAAGTATAATAACAAACCAATACGCTGAAGTTAAATTCGAATGTAAGAGAGAAAAACAGAATGTTAGTTTTATTGACGGATATGTGTTGCTGTGATACAGTGCATCTTAAATAGTTTGTTGTAACCAGCTCAGCCATGTGTAACGCAAACGAAAGGAGCGTTTAAATACTTTGGATCGTTCTTAAAATAGAACTGTATAAGGCAGTTTTTTTATTTAAAACATTCCAATTTCAATTTAAAATGCAATTTCATAGCTTAACTCCTACAGATCACGAAACACTGATAACACGTCACGGCGACAATGGTAGATCCAGAGAGGTTTACAACCAAAGCGACATAAGCATACTATCTTATTAGGAAAGGCACTTTAAAGGAATTTCTCCTTGGTCAGGGTAAATCATAGCCCCAGAATCTGCACCTTGAACAAAGCGATTAAAAACGTATATCTTTTCAGACATTAACATGAAATACTCTGACTGAAGAAAAGAAAATGCAAATCTGGAGACACATTTTGGAAATATCTTTATATATAGTTTGTTTATAATAAAAAATTTTTTTTTTGAAATTCCTTTCAATTCAGATCTTATTTTACTGAATTTAGATTATACCATATGATTACTTAGCCAACTGGTTTGTACTTTTCTGTTTTCCTTGTAGACAGAAATGTTTATCATCAACAATCGCTATGTCTCTTTAATCAAAATGACTTATTGTTCATTGTATAAAAATAATATCTATGTATGATATTTACGTTGGAATAACTTGAGAACACTTGATTCAAAGTTTATTCGAATTCAATATTGTGTACCTGCTAATAAGTATTGTGAAACTAATTCATACATATATATTGTTATATAAATCTTTAATAAAATTATATAATAAGTAATAATTTAAACATTCAAATGCTTTATTTGGTTGTAAGTATGCGTTTGGGAATTAATGTTGCATCTGTTGCAGTTTCCACCAAGGGAAATGATCTGAATAAAACTAAATCTAATTCTTTTAATGAAGCTTAAAATCACAAAAGTTTCAACTTTTCTGACACAACGGTTCTCGGAGAGTTGTTTAAAGATGACAATTAATTTTCACAAATCCTTAATTACTTTCTTCTAAAAAAAAGTATAACTCTTCACTTTAACAAACCTGATTTCCCTATATCCGCGATTGAAGTAATTGGTCAAGTATTTATTAAGAAGACGTTGAATATATCAAAAGTTTGCCGACGGACGACAGACTGAATAGGATCAGAAAATCTCACTTTTTCACTTATTTTCTGCCATACACCTTGTCTATCCTTATGTCAGTTTGTATGTATGTGTGCATCAATCCCTCTTTTTTCACGATCTTAAAAATGTGCCAACGACAAAATGTGCTAATGGGTGACTGTAACTTTTGTCCACTGCAGGAGGAAGATATGGTTCGTTGCCAGTGACAATATGTAATGATGGAAGACAAAATGTGCAGTGAAGATAGGAACATATTGTCAACGACAATATGTACAAAATGACAATATATACCGTCAAACGCACACCTTATACTTTTTCTCATTGTCAAGTGTCGACATCTAATAAGTATACCAATGGATGACGTCTTTTGTCATGGGCAACAAGAGTCTGAAGGTTTTTTCAATACTAATTAAAACAGAAGACACGATCGCGTGAAACCATATCAAATAAGTATATCTCTGCTGGTTGGAGGAGAGGCAATGCCTTTATCATCTGATTAAAGAAAACAGGGTTTGAAAAAATTTCAAAATATATATGTCAGAAAATGTTTTGGCTTCTTTATTTTCTTTTTACCAGACTGTCCATCCCTTAAAGGTTGACCAATGATACCCATAGATATAATTTGCGATAGTTGTACGTATATTGACTTTGTCACCAGATTTTAGAACATCAGGAATGGTATTTGCACAATTTTCAATTCCAGGATTGTTCTCGTTGTTACAATTTGCTAAGCCCTTTCTTTGACCGTTTACCAGAATTTCTGTATCAAATATCTTACGGGTTAATGCCAAAGTTGACCAAGAAAACACATAAAGACCACCAGTTGGCGCTGTGAAGAAACCATTGCGTGGATTGTGCACGTTGCCAGTTAGATATAAAACTGTGTCACACACAACATTGACCGGAGTGCTGCGTTGGAAATCTAATGGTTTGCTGACGACTGCATTGAATACAACAGATCTATTTTCTGCAAGAAAAGTATAGTGTATAGAATAAGGGTTGATGATAAAAAAAGGTAATATACCGGTATTGTTAACCAACTTTTGTTCGGGTGGGAGAACTATTCGCGAAGTTCGCGAGAGTCTCGTCATTGCGAATATTAACTCGCCGCGAACCGGTCCTAAAAGCCTATGTGTATTAATAACAGATCCAAACAGACCTGGTCGCGGAAATTAATCGTCGCGAAGAAGTTTACCCCCGGTGAATCGCGAAATAAAATCGTAGCGAATAAAAGTTTGTTTACAGTACTCAGAAACAGATTTTCGATATGTAACGTTTTATTTAAGATCATACAAACCCAAATATGCGCCGTTGCAAAGAGCATCCACGGTTGAATTCAAATTAAGGAGATCTTCCTGTATCCTTCCAATTTGTACGGAGGTCTCATCAAAAGTATTACTCATATTCAAATACTGATCTAGTCCTTTATGCAGTCTTTGATTGGCGAGTTGAAGATCATCCTCTTTCGTCTTCATTTCTTGTACTTTGACTTCCATTTTGGAGACCCAAAACGAAATCATTGCTGTAGTTTTGAATTTCGAAATCGCATAACTAATTGTTTACAAAGAAATACTTTTCTTGTTTATGAAGTTCTTCTTAAATTATGATACAATAATATTATTCATACAAGTATATCCAATTTCTTTCTTTCCATAAGTGAATATTGTTGATTTTTAGAAAACTAATATACCACAGAAGGAGCGGCAATAAAGAGGACTTAAATCGGTTTAAGTACCTACATGAATAGTGAACATAGATTCATTATGAGAAACAAAGCATTATTTGATTGTTTTAAATACACTTAACTGTCATCGGAAAAGAGATAAGTAGAGTACGCCACATTGCCTTATATGCATGTATTAATGTCTGCCGTCTCAAAAATATAACCCCGTGGGGATCCGGTTTAGAATAGGTCCTCAGTACCCCCTTGCTTGTCGTAAAAGGCGACTAAATGGGGCGGTCCTTCGGATGAGACCGTATAAACCGAGGCCCTGTGTCACAGCAGGTGTGGCAAGATAAAGATCGCTCCCTGCTCAAAGGCCGTAAGTGCCGAGCATAGGACTAAATTTGCAGCCCTTCACCGGCAATGGTGACGTCTCCATATCAGGGAAATTTTCTAGAGATGGACCAAACAAACTTTTATCAGAAACATTTGAAAATAACAATTTTAATCAAGTTTACATTAGTTATATAAATAATATTCTCCGCGCAGAGTTTTAATTTTTATCTGAAGTAACAAAAAATTATAAAATTATAAAAGTGCGTTGCAAAGAGGGAGAATTTTAGACACAATAAAAGATTTACAAAATTTCAATATTTTAGAATTTTTTTTATTTGTAATATTCACAATAAAAATAAGTCAAAATATGTTTTAATCTAATTGTCCTTATTTTGTGTGTTTGTGTCTGTGAGTGGGTTTTTTTTTGTATCATTAAAAGCAACAAGTACTTGAATTTATAAATAATTCCTCAAAATTCTACCCCTATACAGTTTGCAGGATAGTCTGATATCCACTTAAGAAAACGTTTTCTATCACTTCACATTTAGTTTTCAGCAATTTTTCCTCGTTGTAAAGGCTTTTTAAATTTGTGTTTTTTAAACTTCCCTCATTACTTAACTGTCCTTTAACAAGATCAACAACTTTTGGGCGCCTATGTCTGACCATTACGTTTCAGCATTTAAATTTTTGGTTCAGATTTTATTCGGTTGATCCTTTTCTACAAATTGTCTTTGTCTTATATAGAATCACTCATTGACTTTATTTTTATGACTTGCCTGTAAAATACATTTTGATTCTTCTAATATTTTAGAGAGTTTTTCAGGATCTTTCCGAGTATCTTTATTTTTTGCCCCATGACGTTGTACAACATTATCGTATGTGTCATTTTCACTGAGGACTATCTATAGCTACGATGGGGTATCAAAAAGTTCGTGGACTAGCGCCATCAAATAAAAACCGCTTTAAGTACTTCAACCAGTTTTGAAATATCTAATTAGCATCATCTTTTCTATCTATAGTATAAACCACAAATCATAAATTTTATTCTTTAATAAGTTAAAATAATGTTTTTGTAAGCAATGGTATGTCCAGGCGGCGCAACCTAGACAACGACGTTTTTTTCTACCTTAAAAAAACTGAGAAAAAACTGTTTTGATATGAACATTTGACATCCAAAAATCCCGTTAAATCAGGTATGTGTTGGGACACTATTGTTCTATAAAGTATGGAATTTTTACCCCATTCTGGAATTTCTATGAAATTTTATCATAATTTTTACATGGAGTATCCAAACAAATATTGCTTGAAAATGTCGTCAAAAAGGGGGAGGGGTGCCATTTTCAAACATTCTAATGTTTTGCCCCTGAAAAAAAATTATATAGACCTAGGAAATGTTTTAACTGGATACGGAGAAATTATATAGAAATTATGCATCCAGAGTACTTGTTTTTTAAAGCCAAATAGATTCAGAGAGAAAAGAAATGCACAGTTAATGTTGATTTGTAGTCAAGGTGTGAAAAATTAATAACGTCAAAAAATGACTTTGAACATGTGTTATAGATATTGAACTTCAAAAAGCGAAATATGAAAATATGCTGGCACCATCAAGCGAGGATCTTAAGTTTGCCATTGTAAGAATCAATTTGCAATATTATAGGCATCATAGCCACTGTTCATGACATTGTAAAATCATGTAAACAAGACGGATTGAATCCTAACTCAGCTTAAGGAAATTGCGTCAAAATAAAAGTATGAGGTAGAAGAAGCAGACATTGAAAAACAATGACGTTGTCGGACGTCATAAAACTAAACGGCGAGAGCGCCGAGAGATGATATAATGTTGCGTTTAATTTATAATAATTTGGGAAGTAATGAACGTATCAAGCTAGAATTTTGAACATTTCTTTATTTTTTTTGTTCTTTTATATTCCATAATTTTTTTTTTAAGCTCAGACTACAAAGTACTAATTTATAGCCTCAGTCTACGAACTTTTTGATAACCCCTCGAATATCCTGAAGTTAATTTCTCTTCATCGAAGCTAAATATTAAGCCATGATTTGGAATATGAAACGAGTAATAATTCTTGATTTGAACCTCTACGATTTAGTTTTTGCGTTTTTGCTCTATTTAACAGAGAGCATGACTACAGACATTATTTAGTGTATTGTTTGTAAGTTACTTAATTTTGATCTGCTCCGCGATCTGATTTTTGCATTCTCAAAATCTGGATAGGTTTAAAATAAATCGTGAAATTTTATTTTTTTTTAACACGAACTATTTGAATTATTTAAATTCTTCAGTGAAGATCGTCCGTTTAAAAAAGAATTCAAACTTTCGGGAGCAAAGGGACAATCTAAAAATGACCTACATCAGCATTAATTGAGAACTATGTACATGAATCGTCACACAACTTGGGACTGCCCTTTCAATGTTTCCAGTTATAAATAATGAAAAAACAAAAAAACAATTATATGGCGGAGAATTTTGAATCTGACTGGTAGCCATCCATTTCGATGTTTCTAAGGACATATACTCTTAAAATGTTCTAAAATCATTACCGGTACATATTTATTGAAAAACCTTTTGAAATACAAAGTCTGGAAAAATACCTCTGCAATGTTAAACATGTTTTAATGCATTAGGCCTAATGTTAGCATAAAAAATGTTTAATATATGCCAGGATTGCCTTCATTATTACAACGTCCTAAGCCTGTTTTTTGACAGTTCACCATAAGTTCCGTGTCACATACCTATTGAGGTAAAGCCAAAGTCGCCCACGAAAAGACATAAAGACCAGCAGAGGTCGCTGTGAAGAAACCGTTTCGTGGGTTATACACGTTGCCAGTTTGATATAAAAATGTGTCATACACAATATTGACCGGAGTGTTGCGATTAAAAGTTAATGATTTCCCAAGGGCTGCATTGAATACAACAGTTTTATTTTCTGGAACAGATTAACAAAAATAGTTTTAGGATTATTATAGGAAAGTCAAAAGCAGTAGTGGTATCAATTTATCTTCGAACGCTACGACAACAATAAAAAAAATATGTATTTTTAACTAGGTGTGTTTGTGAAACACTATGCACTCGGCAGCAACGAAGTTCGAAAAAACTATTTTAGCATATAGCTATAGGTCACAGTCAATGCCAAAAAGTGATTGACCTTGGTCCCATTTGAAAGAACGTTGTTAGTAGAATATGTATATTAGATATGAAGTTTCTCCCAGGAATCAGAAGTTATGGCGAAGGTTCAAAAAACCTATTTTAGCACCTTGATGTCATTAGATTAAGCTTAATTTGTGGAGTAAGTATGCCAAATATAAAGTCTCTATCTTTCAAGGTTCAAATGTTATGGCATAGTTGGAAACTGCCGGACAAACGGACAAACAGATAGACTGGATAAAATCGGAAAAAATGAATGTTCAAATATTTAATCCTCAAGAAGAACCATTTATTTTTCTTTTATCAAAATATTTAATAGGGAATTTACTGCTCATTATGTTAATTATATTACTTTTGTTAAGATATACAAACCCAAATATGTGCTATTGCGAAGTGCATCCAAAGAGAAGGTTAAATCAAATACATCTTTTTGTATCTTTTCAATTTGTGTGGATGTTTCATCAGTATTATTTATCTTCAAATATTGATCTAGTTTCTTTTGCAGTCTCTCATTCGCAATTTGAACATCATTTTCATTCTTTTCCATTTTTGTACTCTATTTTCCATTTTTAGCATCTGTTTTTTCATTGCTATCATATCATCCACCAGAGAATACATTTGTCTCGCGAGTGATAAACTTCTTGTAGTTTCTTGATTCAACTGTTATCTCAGATTATTCATTTTTTCTGTTGACCGATTGGCACACGCAACTATAACTGGGTTTTCCTATTTCTGATCTGTTCTAAGCGACGGCGATATTGTTGCTGTAAGAAATGTGGAGGAAAGTAGGTGCAAAGCTGCCATTGTTTTAATCCAGAAGTTCAGATAAATGTTTCATGAAAAATAGGCACTGTTTGTTGTTCAGAGGTCGATGAAATTATGGTTATAATGTATCTCAACAATAGTGTGTTTTTCTAGAGCAACGAATATATTGCATTGTGGGTTAAAGTGATTTTAAAGTTATTGCACGCATATCAATTGTATAATGTTGGATCGGGGGAAAATAAAGAATAAAACATATTCTGTTTCTATAACACACTCTGTACCATCCTTTAAGATCCACTATCAGCCTCGCGTGACACTGGAAGCTGATATGGCTATTGTGACATGAAGTATATGCATATGTTTTTTGAAAGAAGCAAGTATTGAATAAATGTATACTCAAACTACTAGGATGCATGCATATTTCTCTGTCTATACTGATTTATTGTGAATGTTTTCTTGTGGATATCTCTTATCTAAGTTTGAAATCGCTTGCTTGTTAATTTGCTCTCCCTTTTTTCTCTCACCATAATGGGGTCAATAAACTAGCTATTATCATTTAACCAGAATCATGCATTATCTCAAAATTAATTTGTTAACCCAAATAAATACTTAATTTTTTATTCATAAGATGTATCGTTCTATCACATGGGTCAGACTGTTAACAGATTTTGACATTTTTGACTTGGTCTGCATTTGATCATACAATAGAAACTTTTCAGA